ACATTATCTTTCAACTGCACCTTGTGCCTCGAGTTGCTAATCTGACAAACGAAGAGAGGAAGCACATGCTGTCCGTTACCCCCGGGGGGCTAAATCGTGGTCAGACTGCTGGCCTGCGGCTCGGAGAACGCCACGATGGAAGCTACACTGATTGACTTTAAAAGCCCGTCTCACATCGGCACCATAACCGCGCCAGTCGGACTTTGGCATTCTAGCTCTCTCCCACATTCTTCCTGAAGAGGGATTCATCAAGGGAGCTGATCCGACAATCAGATGGAGGAGTTTCAGTGCGACACACTCGCATTTCTGCTCCCTCTCGATGGCTCTTCCCTTATCCTTCTCCTCCGTCTGTCATATGTGACTCCATTATTCATGATGGATTGTCCCCAGGCTTAGCGGTATGCAAACTTGTGGTTCATTTGCATATGGGCATCGGACTGATTTGTGCGTACAGAAGTGTGTCTGTGTGTGTGTGTGTTTGTGCGTGTGCACTTCCCTCAGCTTGTGCGATGACAATTGCAATCAACTGGAAAATGTTTGCACGAATGAACCGGTTCCACAAAGGCGCTCACGTTGGCCTTACTTTGCAGTGCACGCGTGGGAGTGCGTGATTGTGGATCAATGCATGGCAGTGTGCGTTAGCGTGAGCAGATTTCTTTCGGGTTGCTTGTCAAAGATGACAACTGTGATTGCGGGAACAATAGAAGGTAAATATAGAACATAGAAGAGAAAAATGGAGAAAAACGGAAAGAAACGTAAAATGCCATAATTTGCCATAAATGAACACCATAATTTGCCATACATTAGCTTAACAATTCACAGGGAGCATGATGGGAGCCGTCTGAATGCAAGTGTGCTGTATAAGGGTTCACCTTTAGCCTCCCATCACCGATCGGATGAGTTGACCTCAAAGTGTCTATGTTTCTTGCAGAGGTGTCAAAAGTATTCACATTTATTACTTAAGTAGAAGTACAGATACTAGGGTTTGAAAAGACTCCTGTAGAAGTTGAAGTACCAACTCAAGCTTTTTACTTAAGTAAAAGTATAAAAGTACTGGTTTCAAAACGACTTAAAGTATAAAAGTAAAAGTAATGTAAGAAATTCCATTAAGGACAAACTCTTTATGCGTAACCTCGCTTACACAACACGTCAGTCCGTTACAATGTGATCAGAAGGTGCCTGCAGCTCACGTGACCTGCCGTTGGGATGGTGGAAACAACAAATGTATCTGACTTAAACAGATAAAACCACAACCCATTTTCCAGTGACACAAGTCAGAGGACGGACACACACGTTGTTCGCATTGATTCGGTAGACTGCAGTGTCTCCTGACTTTTTACGGGGTGGGGGCGCACCCCTGTTTATAATGATGGGAAACACTGAACTGGCAGCGGTCGGTTATCAAAACATTGGCCAAATAACCAGTATTTTCGGGCTTCATGAGCAAATACAGAATCCCCGTGTGTTCATTTGCAAAGCCCCATTAAGACACACATCACTTTATTTAATACGCTGCTTGCAAGTCGCTGTGTTGTGCCAGACTCTCAATAAAACATTTAGGACAAACCCACGGTCATGAAGATACTAATTTAACGTTACATGGAATCTGCGTGAGGAAGAAGAGGAGGAGGGTCCATGTCCCTAAATACTAACTTTCCAAAGACCACTTTTCCCACCCGGTGTCGCTCCTATCTGCCGGCGCATTGCGGAGAAAACCAATCTGGTGTCTGGATGCTAAATGTTTATACTTCTCATCCAACCACAATCAAATTCACTGTCCGCATAGCGGCATTTATCTAGTTTTTTGTGTTTGTGTTTTTGAACTACAACAAGCCGGAAGTAACGAGGCTGTTTTTAAAATGTAAGGAGTAGAAAGTACAGATATTTGCGTGAAAATGTAAGGAGTAGAAGTAAAAAGTCGTCTGAAAAATAAATACTCCAGTAAAGTATAGATACCCAAAATTTCTACTTAAGTACAGTAACGAAGTATTTGTACTTTGTTACTTGACACCTCTGGTTTCTTGCTACGCTGTAGATTTGACAATTCCATTTTGTATCTGAGACGCAGTCAAGAAGATTGGATTTGGGGATCTTGTTCCGGCTGGTAAAAGTATTTTTGAGGTTTTTGTCTTAACACAGTTATAATAGCTTTGGAAATATAATCAGTGAAGGGGGGCAGGAGGGGGTCTTGGCATGTGAATTCACACTTTTGTCCTGAAGCAAGACGAAGCATGAGAGAACTAGTCCATCACAATATCGTCTGTGTCACTCGATTCAATGCCGCATAACTTTGCTCTCCTGAATGACAACTTTCCCCTCGTTATTTTGCCACAAATTAAACTCACCACTGCAAGCTTCCGGCACCGTCTATTTCCTGAGGTTACACAAATACCCAAACGCAACAATGACCATTAAACACAGATGCCGGAGAGGACATTTTAGTGGGACCGGTTGGAGGAGGCAAACGTCTTCTACATGGTCTTGTTTTCTCGTTGCTATCTCGTACTAGCCTCCCATTGTGTGCATTTTGCTCTCCCGCTCCTCTTGCTTTGTCTGCCCATACGGCTGAGAGGTTTTTATTTAGCAGCACGAGAACGGCGCTCTCTCTACTTATGCTGTTATGCTCCTGACCAACAAGATTAAACCCCTAGAGGAGTAAACCTCAACCTTCACCACCTCGAGTCCCCTTGCTTGAGCTTACAAGTGTGTTCGTGGGCTCATATTGTGTCACACGCATCTTAATTCTACAATTACCATTTACTTAACCGCAAATCGGCCGATGGGTCGGTGTGCAATCAGAACACACACACGGTCTCCGTTACATAACACACACCCTGACATCCAAACACACACCAATACTCAGCACACAGTTCAAATAGCCCTTTGTGGTGAATATCACCTGCCCGTTGTCCGGCGTTTATTACATATCGGCAGTGTGCGCTCCAGTTGAGAGTTGTATAGATCTCCTGTAACCACTCTGACTAGTAGTCAGATCCCAACACTAGTCACACACATGTGCACACAAGCACACCGACTCCCACTTGCACACGCAGAATCCGCTTTCGTAGGCCGCGGTGTTGAGGATGTGCGCCGTCATCCACCCACGCACCCACCTTCACCATCCACTGCAAGTAACAGCGCAGCGCCACACGAGAGCTTCTGTTTCCCTCGTCCTCTCGCTTCCTCTGCCTCAAAACTCCCAGGTTCAGTTGGGCGCGAAAGCCCGGAGCGATCACTTTCAACAGTTTCAAAACGTTTGATAAGACTCGAGAGACGCGCAGATTCTGTTCTAACCTGCGGCAGTTTGAGACACAAACCCAATTGTTTTAAAACCAAAATGTTCACATTTTGCTGGTCTATGAAATTCAGAAGATGTCCATATCAGTTTTCAGGCTGTTCATTCCCTGTTTGTACCTACAACTATGCAAAGTAAATAAGTTATCATGAGCCACGATGTCCAGAACTGCCGATAAGGGAAGATATTTAGCTATTCATGGAGCTCACGGCCTTCTAGCTGTACTTCGATGTTGTTATAACAGGTTTTCATACCCTTTTTAATATGTACTCGACCCACATCAAGGAATATAGGTCAACATGTCTTGGTTTATCTACTATATTTTTGTTTCTATGTGACTAAACGAGGGGCAATAAAGTGGTGCAGGAATGCTGTATTTTTGTAGCCAAAACTCAGTACGCCAGCATCGCAAAGGTTTATTTTACTTAGACGTTTTGTTCAGCAAGATTATCTTCACAAATGAACACAGCTTTGATGATTTTTGAAGTGGGATTGCAAACAGTAGCATGATGATGTTTTGTACGAACCCATGTCCAGGTTTAAGTGTTTAAGTTCAAGAGACGGCAGCAAAAGGAGGCTCTGGAGAAAAAGTAAGAGAAACCGGTCACAGTTGAGGAGCACGTCCATTTCCTGCTCGCGGCTGAAATCATGAATCAAACTAACTGCAATTGTTTTATGGTAACTGTGGGACGGAGCGGTATCTTGAAGCGAGAGGAAACAGAGATATGTCCAGAGAAATGCTCCAAGCTACAACAACAACCAACACGCACACACACACACACACACACACACACACACACACATGCAAACACAAGGATACAGATACGTCGTGTCAGATAGAACAACCAATGTCGACAGAACTGAGGAAAGACTAAAGAGGAGAACTGAGACACATCCAGAAATGAAATGCAATTAAAAAATACAGAAATGACCCAGGAGTGCCTGTCAATGCTGGTACTTGAACATGTGTGTTTCTGTGTGCGTTTCCCAAATATGTGGCTCAAAGGCAGCCACGTCCTAATGCCATTTAGCGTTGTAGGACATCAAAGAGACAAACCCTCGGGGACGAGACCGTCAGGCACGGAGACGGAGCTTTGATGAGGACCTGAACCCATGTTTCATTTTTAATAATATCCCACTGTGCTGACAGGAAAGTATAACGGCTCTAATGGACCTCAGCATCTAGACTAAGAACGTCACAGCAAAAAAAGACACTGAATAATCATCTCGTGGCCTACAAAACGCAACTCTGTACCGACGCTCAATTATTAAAAAGGCAATTCAATATACATTTTACGGATGAAGACGCTCCACTGAAAAGAATGACAAGAATTCCCTTCCTCTGCACGAAGCCATTTAGAGCTTATGGTTTATTCTGCTTTAGCAGCTCGCACTCTTGAAAACCAGGACACTCTCTCTGCACACTGTAGCTACTTCTGACTGCTCTGTGGAGGACAAATTTAGTGCCCGTTGCCATGGTTATGATCGGGAACGCATTCACACACGAACGGAGCAGCAAGACCACGAGGATGCACACCTACACAGCTCTACCCTCAATGCTCAAACACCATGTGTAAATGAGGAGGATGTGTGAGTGTGTGTCTGTGTGTGTGTGTGTAGGGGATTGTCGTGCCTTGTCGTCTGTGTGCGCATGATGAGCACCTGTGGAAGCACTTTCCTTTTCACAAGTTGAACACAGACTCACCGTCACAGTGGGGATGGCGGTGACCAGGGAGTAGACGAGGACGGGCGGCGCCTTGCTGTTGTCCTCCGGTCCCGGGAAGGGCTTGGAGTAGGCTTTGTCGAAACAGAAGAAGCCCTGAATGTGCACGGGGAACGTGTCCGTGTACTCAAAGTAGTACGCCAGCAGAACGGTGCCTGCCATGATGACCAGCTGGAAATAAAACATAGCAGTTCCAGCTTCAGGATTGGATCCGCAGCAGAAGAAAAGACAACCCGGGAGACGAGAGAAGTGGAGAAACTATTGTCACAGATTTAATGGGGGAAAAAAGGAAGAAAAGGGGAGAGATTTTTCCATCACAGAGCAAAAGGATGGAGGCTTCGGTAATGTGTAAAATGAATAGTGTGCGTGGAGAGATAGCGAGGGATGAGAGGGAGAGATAGAGAGAGAGAGAGAGAACCCTTCAGCTGTGTCAGCGTGCAGTGGGAGGGTAAAGAAACAAATGGAGACGGATCAAAGAAAACAACGCTGTGTAGAGGAAAACAGGAAGAGCGGCTGGAGGACGGGAGAGAGGTGGGAGGAGGCTGAGGCACAGATGGGGTAAAAAAGAGCAAAGCGGTAGAGAAGACAAGAGGAGGGAGGAAGAGGGAAGGCGAGAAGCGACCGTGGGAATAGCATTATGTGTGTGATTGTCTGTCTAACTTAAGTTACCGGCTGTACGTAAAACACAAGACACGCGGCCAAAAAGAGGATCTTCATAACTATTTTAAATAGTACGTGATAATATATATGCGTTAGCAATTCCTAACAGGGAGTAAGTACAATATTTGTTTGCCCTGCAGGTCTGGGCTTGTACCGAGGAAAATTACAAGTAAAAAAGGGGACATGATTTTAAATGTTGATGATGAGTTTCATCATAATCTGCTGCCTGAATTGTGCGGATGACAAATACATCCCCTATCAGAAACATGAGTCTCCGACGGCACGACTCAGTGAGGCCTGTGAGGCAGGAAAAGTGACCTAAACTAACTAACTTAGTAGTGAGTTCCAGTTTAAATGTTATTAATGCAATATCATTGTCGATGAGCAGACTGACTACAGTAATATGTCAGCACATGTCAAAGGCAGACCTTGAACAACGATGGGCTAAATGTTAACTGAGTTGTCTGTCGCAGGTGTAATTTGTGCCATAACTGCTGGAGAAGAGACTCCGTGTGAGATCAGTTCCACCTGTTCTCTCCCTGCTGTGACAGGAGAAAGTACTGTACCTGTAGTCGGGAACGTCTGACTATCTGAATCTGACAAATTTGGTCAATGATAGATGAGAAAATGAGAAACAGGAAGTCCATGTATCTCTCGATGGAGTTCTTTTTTTCTCAATGTCAGTGCAGCAGACAGGAATAAAAAGGATGATCAATTGTGGATAATTGCATCAAAATGAGATCAACAGCAAAGACGTATCAAAGAATTATGTGACACCATTCCAACTGTACTAATGGTTCATACAATCAAAGGTTAGTCAGTGAATAGTAGTAAAGTTTGTAAAAACTGGTGAAACTCTAGGAGACAGTAAAAACCAACCTCTTATAATCTAAAAAACAATACACAAGATATATCTGAATTAACGCCAACACCGTAACTTCCTCAGGTTCCTTTGTTGATGGTGGTTTCCTTTGTCAACATTTTAAACTAAACTGATGTTGGGTGTTTTGCGCACTGCTTCACCAATAGAATATTAGTATTGTTTTGCACTTGACACAGTCCACTTTCTTCACAAAGGTTAGAGGCCAAGATCAATTCCACTCTCATGAGACTAGTTTAGCTTAGCTTAGCATAAAAACTAGAGGCAGAACACCCAGACCTTCAGGGTAGTTGGTCCCTGTCGGTTTCCTGTTGTGTTTTCTGTCATTCACTCTGCCTCTCGGTTCAGACGCCTCGCTCCCTGTGTTCCGCCCTTATAAGCTCCGCCCTTATCGTTTCCACCTGTGCCTCGTTCCCCTGTGTATTTAGTCTGTGTCGACTGCTTCTTCTGTGCCAGTTTGTCTCTAATTGTTTCATGATCGTACCAGTGGTTTACCCGAGCGTGCTGTCCCATATTTCGACCCGTTTCTGTGTACCTGTGATTCTTTGCCTGCCGATTTGGATTCATCCGCCGGCCTTGTCTGACTACCTGTGATCCTTGTGGCCCCAGCTCCCTAACAGCAGGGGGGGGAAACAGTGGGCCTGACTCTGTCCCAGCCCATCTAAAGCTCACCTAAAAAACAAATGACATCTTTGTTTGGTGGTTTCTCTGTCTGTGTGTGTGTTATTGTGTCTTTGGTTGCCTGGCACCAAATGAGAAAAACCTCAGTAGCAGATCACTCTGAAGAAGTGAAAACCACTGTGAGGACGTCCGCCATTTTTATTCAATTCAAAAATACTGCGGGCTGGAGGTGCATACCCGAGAGTGCTTTTAGGTGGATGGGGACGGACGTGTCACACATGTCAGCATTAGTGCACTGATGACTGATAATGAACATGGGGAGAGGGGGTGACCTAATTCAATCCCCTTTACATTGTGCGCTCAGCCTGTCAACTCAGCTTCTCTGTGTCTTTTCTGTTTCCAGTTTCCTTAACAGTAAATCCTGCGTACCGGGGGCAATGTGCACACATAATCCACTATGAGTTGTCCGTACTGTGGGTTTTGGCACTGAGGGTCCCCAGTCAGCAGAGCATTGTGACAGGGGGGGCGGGTGTTCAGTGATGATACACATACCCCAATGCCTGTAAAGAGCCAAATCTGTATGCAGGCATGTCGCAAAAACCCTCCAGGTTGTAGTCCAAGAATACCAAACAACTGCATGTTTCTCCATGTTCTTTTCCATCTTTGTGCGTCTGCAGGCATGTGGGTGCCCTCTTGGAACTCTGGACGCACGCACGCGAAGTTGAACAATTCTTTCCATCATCCGTTCGTATCACCGAGCAACAGAAGGCTTGAAGGAGGGAGGCGCACAAATGTGGGAGGGGACAAGCGAGCGAGGGAGGGATGCCCACAAACACCCCTCAAAGTTTAAACAAACATTTGAAGGCGACTGCGGAAGAAATCTCTGGGAGATTGTGCCTGTCGTTTTGTATACACGCCGGCAGCGCTTGTAGGCATTACACGATACTGACTGACAGGTCTGGCTACCATGTGGGGACTTGAGAAGACACTAGTCGATGCTCAATATTCGTTCCGGGACAAGAAATTACGTTAAAACTTGCATCATTGTAAAAAACAAAAAAGTGAATCCTCTGAGTGCGTAATAACTGCTGTTGCTGATTCGTGCATGTTGTGTAAGCCCCAGATACGTTGAGCAGCCGCTGTGTCCTGGTTCCAGACATCGTACCAACGTGCTTGGTGAATTAGTGACGATTAGTGATAGTTTACGCTCACATTGTCAACAATTAAGTCACCCAGGCATACAAACGACGGCAGTGAACGTCTATGCTTCATACAGACACATTTATTCATCCACATAATCTGCATCAAAATGAGATCAACAGCAAAGACGTTTCAAAAAAATATGGGACACTATTCCAACTGTACTAATGGGTTCATACAATCAAAAGTTAGTCAGTGAATAGTAGTAAAGTTAGTAAAAACTGGTGAAACTCCAGGAGACCGTAAAAACCAACCTCTTATAATCTAAAAAACATGTGGGTGCCCTCTTGGAATAATCTTGTTTGGTGTGTCTACAGATATAAGGTAATATAATTATATATATATATATATATATGTATATGGTATATAGGTCCCTACAATGTCAGGCCCTCAGTGACGAAAAAACTAACATATGGATGTTGACGTCTGAGCCGCGTTGTTCACACCACCTGGCGCCAATTAGCTTCCGTTCTGGTCTTTGCATGCACTTTGTGTGTATGTCCTGTCAAGCCAAAAAGACTGCTTTGCATTTGACACTTTTGACATTCAAGTTGTTATTCGACATTTCATCGTCCTTTCCTCCCACGCGGACAAATAAACAACTACTTCAAAAGGGTCAAAGCAACTTCAGGTTGATGGTTTCTAATTAGCACATCCTGCACAGGTCACCTTGGAATATTCATCTGCATAATAAGTGTGTCTGAAGCTGCAAAATGAAACTACTGAAAAGTTTAAGCCGCAAGAGGGTCGCGACGGCCGTTGTGTCACATGACTCAACTCAATGCAGGCTGTTTACCCAGGATCGTTAGTCACACGGCAGCCATCTAGGTGTTTTTGAAGTTCACACCAACAGTTTTCCCCAGATGGTGCTGAATTCATTTGTGCTTTATTCTCTCCAATAGCCCCAGATACTGATACAAATAAATGATTAAAACTCCACATATGCTGATTTTTGAGTGACACCTGTCGCCTGCACTTTATTATGTCTCAGCCTATTATAAGCCTATTATTGTCCCTGTAAAATGTCTCTTTGTCTCTCTCCAGTGACATTCCAACCTCGTCCACACACCTGTTCCCTAATGAGACCCTGGTCTCCCCCACCTGCACCTCATTCCCCCGTTAGCCACTGTGTGCCACTGAGCATTCAAAAAGAAGGAAATAAACTGTGACAGTAGGTATCGTGTTATGGGGCGGGAACGCAAATAAGCGCTGCGCGTCCGCCCCTTGGCCCGTGTGGAGCGGCCAGATGGCAGGAAAGTCAACTGATTAAGTCAAACATGTTTACAGAAGGTGAGAATGTGTGGACGGAGGCCGGTGTTGAGATGGCAGCGTCCTGCTGAGAGGCGACGAACGTCACGCTGCCGGCGGTGAACAGGAGACGTGCTGATTCATTTTGCTCTGTAAACGTCTGTAAACGTCTGATTTGTTTATCAGTGAGAACCAACGTAAAGTGTGAACGTGCCCCAGAGTCCAAATGTTTTTCTCCCTCCAAGTGATCCTTTGGAATTGATACACAAGGACTCGAATGGTTGCCGTTGTTGTATATTTAAGGCGTGTTGATTGATTCACAAAGTCAACTCGTATTTAACTGTATGTCTGAAAACTTCTGGTAGCTGCCCCGAGGCCTTTGAGCATCACAGGGAATTAAGGTTTAAAGCTAGCAAACTGCTACCTTTGCTCGGCAAAATGACATCATTCGAACTCCAACTGGTCTAAAATGATGTCAGCTGTGAAGTGACGCAGTTGGAGCGGTTTGAACAAGGTTTCAGCTGGTCTGCAGCCACCACCTCACCGCCGCTGTTCTCTTCAC